ACAGGAGAATATTCTCAGGATTGTGCAAAACTCCCTCAGCTCCCTTCCAACTTAGTAGTGTCTCTGCCTCCTTCACCGATGCCTCTCCTTACTGCCTGTGGGCATTTCTTCTTTGTCTTTAATGTTGCTACCTAAATATGGAGCCTCATGCATATGGTTAAGACACACCTGCTTTGATAATTTCAGGTAATTAGAATTGGACAACAGGGATTGCTCTGAGTCTCACTTGGGGTTCTCATTTGTCCTTCCTGTTCTGTGTGTCCCTTGCCTGCCCTGCCCAATCTTCCTTCTGTTGGAACCTTACCAATAACTTCTTATTCCATTTTTCTTTACTCACTGTATTGGTTACTTTTCTTTTGGCTGTGACAAAATAACTTAAAAATAGATGATAAAAAGAAAGGGTTTATTTTGTCTCACACTTCAGGGACTTGATAGCCACCAGGCTTGGAACAGCTGGACTTGATGTGTTCCTAGCTGGGGAGTAGAGAGTTGAAAGCTTGTGCCTAGCCTTGCTTTCTCCATTTTGTTCAGTACAGAACACCAGACCATGGAATGGCACTGCCCTTCTTTAAAGGGTTTGCCTAGATCTATGCAATCTCCTACAGAGGTGCCCAGAGATTTATTTCCATGGTGACCACAGATCCCATTGGTGGACAGTCAACTTTAACTGTTGACTCCTTTATGTTCTTCTGTAGAATATTAGCTGTGTCCTTGGCTCTTAGGACTGTAAGTCAGTAGGTATTTTACTGTCTGCATAAGGAATGGGAAGCAATTAAGGTTTCATTTAGCCTTTTCTAAACTTTTGAGGCCCTTATTGTTCCTTCCTGTTTTTCATTCAAATTTAAAATGTGTGTGTCAATAATGTACTCAACTTAAATTTGAAATGTTTATCCTTTAAACCTTATTGGTATTATTGCTGCTATGATACATGCTTAAATTAGTCTCATGTTCACCAGTTTATTGAGTTGAGAGGTATTTTTTTTTCCTTTTAGCACTTAGGAGATATTTATTATTTCTTATCCCTTTATTTCTATTATGAGTGTTTAAAAATCAGGCATCTTTCTAATATTTACTGTTTTGAAGACAGTCTATCTTTTTAGTTATTTAAACTTTCCTGGTTATTTAAATACTTTCTTTTTCTATTATTTGTGACAGTTTACTATGGGGTAACTTAATTTCTTTTTGTGTGAGAGTTTCTATGCTTTTTGAATCTTGCTAATTTTAAGTTTTAGAGAATCTTTTATTCATTATTTATTCAAATAGTTTCCATATGCACTGTTTTTTCTTTCCCTTGGGTATCCCTTAAGGAATATAATAACACACACACCATTATCTATAGTATCCTTTGTTTCTTGTCTTCCATCCTAACATCTCCCGTCATTTTATTTCTCTTTGCGTTATGCTGGAGTTTCTTTCTGATTAACCAGAATCTATCCAAGCTTCTTCCTTACTATTATTCTTTTGTACTGCTGAATTCCCTGGCCTTGTTTATCTTTGAATAAAATGAGTATTTTATGTTTAAAATGAGTAATTTATGTTTAAAAACCTCCAACATTTAAAATTTTCCTGACTATTTGATTATTTTCTTGTCGTTGAGTACTTGTTATATTTTTTGTCATGTGTCACGATTTGTTTGCAAGATACTGAAATAATTTTCAACCTGGTATACCATCCCTCAAAGAGGATTTATGTTCTGTTTTTCTGGGACACTCATCCTCTGGGTCAAGTTGATGTAATTTCATTAATACAGCATGAGGGAAAACCCTAACTTGCTCAAGGTGAGATGACAATGGCCTCTTCTGAATTATGCCAAAGTTCACAAAGCATCCCCTGTTGTGAGCTGGGAGGAAAGCAATCAAAGTTCAGTATGATTTGTATAGATAGCTATCTGATACATACATATACATTTTAGTTGCTTTTCAAACATCATTAAGACAACCCTTCGAGCAATGAATCTGAGGTGGTTATATAACCCTCCCAGGACTTCAGATGTGAAGCTGAGGAAGAGGGGCATCATGCCTTTTGGCCATGGAATAACTTGGGCTTCAAATCCTTCCATCTGATTTTAGCTGTTATGGTAGAAGAACAACTAATATCTAAGCCAAATCTTCTGAACTTGGTTATATTCCTGGCTTTTCCGGATGTGCGTAACTAGAAGGCAATGCTATTAGAATTATTTGGTTTCTTCTCTCAGGGGCATGTTTTGGGAATGGTCACCAGGCTAACTAAAGAACTGAATCTGTATGGTGTCTCCTAGTCACTCTCATTTCCACATAAGCACACACATACACAAGTTAGAAGTTTGGATCCTCACATGAGAGCACATGCAGTGTTTATCCTCCTGGGCCTGGTTACCTCACTTGATACAAGACTTTCCAATCTCATCCACTTTCCCGCAGATTTTATAGTCTCAGGACACTTGATTTTCTTTATGACTGAATACAATGTCATTGTATATGCGAATGACATTTTAATGACCTCTTTATTTGTGAATACAAACATCTAGACTGATTCCATCCCCTCCTATGAAATACAAACACATGTATCTCTGTGCTATGGTGTTCAGTCCTTTGCATATAAACCTCAGAGTGGTGTAGTTAGATCATATGACATTTTGAACCTTAGTTTCCATGTTGACTTCTACTGTGGTTGCACTGGTAAACATTCCTATCAGCAGATGTTCAGAGATACAGGGCAAAGCTATTTAGAAGAGCGATGTATAGGGCATCAGAACACTTGTGATGTGGAAGTGCAAGGGGTAATCCTGGAGGGTATAAGAGGGGAGAGCGAACAGGGAGAAATGAGGGAGGTTGATCAACTAAAACTAGCCATGTACAAAAATGTCCTAAGAAAACCTATAGTTTATATGCTAATTAAAAAATGAAAAGGAAATTGGGTGGGTATAATACATTGCTATCACAGTCAATTTAGAATTAGGACAGCAAATTATCCTGTGGAATGATAAAATTTAGCATTAGATTACAGGGGGCAGTTAGGAGGGAAATTTTATTTTATTTATGTTGTCTAATGATTGTAAGGTTTAAATGTATGATCTATATGTCTCCTGGGTAACTACTGGGTCACTGTGAGCAGAGCACCTAAGAGAAACAACTAAAAGAAGGAGAGGTTTCGTTGGCTCACAGTTTCAGAGGGTTGCAGTCCCTCGTATCTAGCAAGGCATGGCAGGGCTGCTCCGTCTCATGATGGTGGGCACTTACAGGTGTGCCTTGTTTATATCTCAGTGGACCAAGAAGCAATGAAGAGAGGCTGAAGCAGGGGCACTCATCACCTTCAGAGCCCTATTCCTAGTGAGCTTCTCCCACCTTCCAGGCCTTACTTACTGAAAGTGCTGCACCCATTAAAACAGCACCAGAGGGCCTGAAGAGATGGCTCATCCAGCAAAGGGGCCAGCTACCAACCTTGACAGTTTCAATCCTTGGGACCCACGTGATGGAAGAAGAGTACTGACTTCTGCAATCTGTCCTCTGACCTCCACTTGTGAGCCATGGCCCACAGACATGCACACACACACGCATGTGTGCACACACACACATACTTCAATAATAAATGTGAAAATAAAATAAGATAGAACCATAAGCTGGGCATTATGCATTCAAATCATTAGCCCATAGGAGACATTTCAGACTCAGATAACAATGGGTTCTTAAGAGAGAATGAAATAATGTCTGTGATGTCGGGAGAGGGACTCACTGGAAAAGAGCCCAATGTGTTGCAGTTCCTAAGTGGGAGGAGGGAGACTTTGGGGTTGAGTCAATGCTGCTAAAAGCTCTTTTGCACCGAGAGCAACGAGTAAGAGGGAATTGCATCTCAGAACTTGGAAATGCTTGCTGGATTCATGTGTGACATTTGTTTACTGTGTTGCTTTCCACAATGACTGCTCAGGCGGCTTCAGCTTGGATGCTTGGCTCAGTACCCAGAGGGTGTTTGATTAGCTAAGTTTTGAAGCAAACACATACACTGTAGAGGAAATTTACCCCAGAACAAATGCAGATCACTTAGTCAAAAGGCTATATTTTCAGTATGTTAAGTCTTTTCTGGGAGAAAATGCCACAGGAGCACTCTTAGAAGCATAGATGAACAAAACACATTTTTTTTTTTGTACCCAAAGAAACTGAGGTGTGGCCTAACATGTGATTCAGAACCAGTCAACTTGACCTTGGAGAGAAAGAGACCATAAAAGGAGAAAATGCACAAGGCTGATTCTGCAGAGAATATTTACCAGGCAGAACCTTCATTGAGAGTGGCAGAAATCAGATGCAAACCAGCTTAATCACAGATATCGAGATGGAGAAGATGAACAAATTGCTGTCTTTAGCTTGACTATGGTGCATATCAATGTGAATTCATTCTTGCTGAGTTGGGGAGAGAGACAAAATGTTCTAGCAGGTTCAAACATACTTAGAAGACTATGAACTTAAAATGAGTGAGGCACCTCTTGTCACAATCCCCAAAGCAACATGGACAACTGGCCTTGATCGGAACTCATTACGATCATAAGATAAAATAAACCTTCCCTCTTTCAAGTTGGTTTTCCTAAGTATTTAGTTATAGGTGATGGAAGTTGACTAATATGGGTATCTACTGCTGCATGACAATTATGCCCTGAAGGGTAGAGTCTGCCAAAAACACAGTGTCTCCTGTGGCATTTCAGTTAAGGTGTGGCCAAGGATATGGTAGCTGAAGCTGTTGAAGAAACTGCTTCCAAGCCATTCATATGAATTGCTCTAAAACTTTGGCTTTTGTTCCTTGTCGTCTGGGTCTTCACATAGGGTTGTTCATCAAAAGAGCATAGCTATAGAGGGAAACAGATGAAATAATCTTAGAAGTGGAGCATCATGATTTCTGCTGTGTTTTATTTTTTATGTTTGTGTGTGTGTGTGTGCACATGCGCACACACGTATGTGCAGGCGTGAGCACGTGCATGTTCATTTATGTGTGTTTCAACCACCTCTGTTTCTATTCTGCTTCCTGGACCACAGGAATATTCGTTCTGATGAGACAGACTGCAGAATCCTTTGAAATGCACATTACTCCACTTCCAAGGCCAGGACTACAGGTGAGTCAGCCGGACAATTTAATGGATTCTAAAGTAGCATAGATCAGTGTCATGCCAAAGACAAAACACTGCAGACTCCAGATGGCTACAGTCATGAATCCAAAGACTGTTCTGTATACAGTGCTTGGGAAATAACCCAAAGAAGCAGAAATCTCTGGCTCTAACTAAATATAGGAGCTTCTGGGATTAATTAGAGCCAGCCTTTAAAGCCTGTATTTATTTATTTTCACTTTGGAAAATGAAACAAAAAATTTTATTCTCCAAGTGTCATCAAAATTGTATCATAGCCAAAACAAAAATTTTGCAAGGAAAAAGGTATAAATATCCATATGTCCATCCTTCTATGCTTTGAAAACAGCCTAGAATGTAGCATTATTTTAATCTACTAGTTTGAAGAGCAAACAAATTGCTGCCCCCTGGCTTTCCTAATATACCACATTTCTATACATATAAAAATGCAAGGTACCAATTTGGGGACACAGAAAGTTGGCAAGAATAGACATGTAATCAGAGAAAAGCCTTAATTATAGACCCATGGGTACTAGTGAAAATGGGATGGTTGATACCCAGTGTATTCAGAAAAATATCATTCACATCAAGTATGTTTAATAGAGGGAGCTTAATGTAGGGGAACGGGCTCAAGAAGCTGAAAAAAACCAGCAGACAATGACAAGAAACCCAGTTGTAGTGTGGCTCTTCCTGGGGATACATAAAGAAATGACCGTTTGCTCCAGATAGACTAATGACAGATGAAAGAAAGGTTCCATTCAAGTCCAGCTTGGTAAGCCAATGAATTTGTTGGGGTTATGTGCAGGAATACGGGGTGGCTTAGAATCAGCAGTGTCACTGAAAGGTCCACCTTAGCATGGGTGATAACTCATGAAAGCTGCACCACTAGCATCCCAGTCCCTAATTAAATGCCCATCTCCTTTGTACTGTACCACCTTCCAAGGATGTGTGTAGCTGGAGACAGGCAGGTGGGGATGGTGGATGGAATCCCAAGTAAGAATTTAGTGATGCTCACCCCTGCTACTATGGAATAACCTCATTATTATTGTAACCATGGGCTTAGTCATCATTGTATTGCTTTGTTTATTTTGTTACCACAATGTAAGCCTTGATATTTTATATACCATTCAAATGAACCACACCTGAAATTATAAAGTACCACCCATATTAAACCAATGAAGAGTATAAGAGTTTATTTTGGGATAGTGCCTCAAAAAGATTCTTGTTGGAGAAGCTCAGGGCACAGCATTTTTAAAGCCAGAAGACCTCCCAACCGCATTTACATCAATCTTATATGAGGATCAGAGTAACATTGTAGCATCTGTTTTGGCAGAACATAGTTCCTTCAGATACAGGATCATTAATTAAGATTTATACTATTATCTGTTATTTTTGTATATTCTTAAATTGTGCAAATATTAATTATTTTTGTTAATGCATCCAGACCATGGCCAAGGTTGTGGAAAACCCAGAGCTGTCAAAACAGATGTGGCAGGTAATGGGGAGGTGGGTGGAGGGTTGAGAAGTGTAGAAGCAGATGCAGAATGGAGTCAGGATGACATGATGTTGCCTTAGTCCCTTCACCATAGCGACTCAACCTCATGATCCAACGGTCATGTCATGGCCAGTGGAAACAGCTCCACTATACTGCTTCACCCTTTTCTGGCTCATACTTTAGTTCTGCTCCCTTTTCCATTATGTTCCCATAGTCTTGGATAGTGTGTGTGTGTGTGTGTGTGTGTGTGTGTGTGTGTACCAAAAAGGAGAAAGAGGGTATAAGGAGAGAGGGAGAGAATGCATATGTAACACATACTGGGTCACTATACCACACAAGCAGTATAGCCCACAGCAAGAGCATGACAGAATAAACCACAGTAAAAGACACTTGTCCTCAGCAGCTAAAGTGTCTGAAGTATCAACAACTGCCAAGGAGGTTTTCTTCCATTATTATAGGCAACAGCAGTGATCTTTGGTTGTGAATACAAAAGTTCAGAAGAGAATTAGGCAAACACATTTTATTATTTTTTTAAAAAAAAAACGGTAGTAATAGTCTTCTCAAGGGGACTTATGATTTCACAATCACAGGGTTTACCCTCAAGTATTTGGAACATAGGCTCCCTTCTATAGAGCAGGACTTAAATACAACCTGAAAGTAATTGGTTTTACCTATAGCAGTATTGCCACTATTACACCAGCAGGCACATATTAGTTCACGCACTCACAGAGGAACATGTGGGATTCAGAGCTGGACAGGATCCTTGGTGATCACCCTTCCAATCAGCATGCAGAATACGTTATGACACTACAGTATACAGCATACTCACTATGTGCACCACTGTAGCAAACCTCATGGGGTCTGCCTGGCCAACAGCTCAAAGGAAATTCACCCTGGTCTACCAGTCATCCTGCCTTGTCTTCACAGGTAGACACACAGACCACTTAGTTAAAGAAGAAACTGGGGCTTGCTATTACAAACTATGGAAACTACTTCTTTTGGAATAATTGTGGTCTGTTACCACTGGATTTTATCCTATAGAGATAAGGTATGATGAGGTAGATAGATAGGTAGATAGATAGATAGATAGATAGATAGATAGATAGATAGATAATAGATAATAGATAGATAGATAGATAGATAGATAGATAGATAGATAGATAGATAGATAGATAGATGATGGAGGGAGGGAGAGAGAGAGACAGAGACAGAGAGACAGAGAGAAAAATCAACCAACATGTTAATTGAAAAGAAAGTGAGAGATTGTACCTGACTGGTAATGAAGAAGAGTTCTTCCAAGGCAAGAAACTGTTTTAACTTCAAGTACACATGCATATGCTTTTAAATAGCTCTGGAACAAAAAGAAACAATGGGGATCAAAGGCGTTCTGTCTTCTCAAACACAAGCACAGGTTCTGGTTCTCTGTCATCTTTTTCTCTAGCAGCTCCAGCATGACATAAATTTCTCCAGTTCCTTTCAAGTGACCCAGACAAGCCCCTTGTCTACTTTACCCTTTCCTCAGCCCCTCTTAAATGTTTTAGTACTTCACAAATCCAATTTAAATGATGACTTCACTCACTCAGGTTCACCAAAGCTAATCCTACCTCATTAAAAAAAAAATCATGTCCTACCATGAAACTCAATAAAGCCACTAAAACCTTAAATAGTCCTGAATTATCCACTAAATTAAAGTATGCTTTTGAGACAGAAACTCCCTTGTAGCCCAGATTGTCCTTCACCTTAAAACAATCTTGCCTCATCATCCTGAGTACTATGACAGGCCCATGGCATCACTGCTGACTTAACTTCTCCTTTTACTATTGTGTTTGTCCTGGTATATTGGACATGAAACATTGCCTCTCGTGGGACCATCATGTTTATTTCATCTCCTCAGTGCTGTCCCATTTACTGATTTTCCCCAATGAGCCTAGGTGTTTGAACCTCAGGAGGGGGTTAATCGACACAATTTTTAGTATACCCTTACCCTGATGCCCTGCCCCTAGCTGCAAGTATCAACAAGCCAGTACCTGCGTTTCATTCTTCCTCTGACCTTATTTTTCCTGATAAATCAGGGCTAATAAGGAAGATTCTTCCTCGCATCTCTTTCTTATTCAGGACAGCTCCCCTGGGCAGAGAGCACAGCATCATTTGTGTTTTATCACTCACAGCAAAGGCCACACAACTTGCCACAAGAACTTCCTTATAGCCTTATTTTGTATGTGCTACTTTCAAGGACTGCAATGCATTGCCTATTCCATCTGGAATTTTGAGGGTATCCCCAGACTCATATGAGGGTGTTCCTCAGACATTCACCAGGGAGGTGTGCTCCTGGACACCAAGTAGAAGAAGGTTATATTAAGATTTATCCTGTGGATTCTCAACCCTCAAATGAAACAACCTCACTTTTATAGCACGAGCTATAAAACTGGTCCACTCAGACCTATCTTTGGTTTTGGTAATTTCTTGTGTGTCTTCCCAAGGACATATAAAGAAACCAGTAGGATGTTGATTGCCTGTGTGTTGCGTGGGAAACCAATGAATTTACTGGTTTCAACGGTCATCCCATACTCAGAAGAAATTGTTTTGCTGCAACACTAGGCACATGTATGTCACTTTCAAGCTAGAAATAATTCTATCAGATCTCAGAGGTCAGGCTACTTCAGGGAAGTTAGGGCCCTAATAGTCATAGAAAAAGAAAACCTTCCCAATATATAATTAATTAGTCTAGTGTTGATTCTTCTTGAAATTGTTATTCCATATGTTATCTCCTTAATAGAGCAAGTTTATGTAATGACTAAGGCAGATCCAAATGCTGGAAAATGCCTCTGGCAAACACCATTAGCACAATTGCAACACACACACTCAGATTTTAGAGAAAGACTGCTTGCTACCTTTTGCTGGGGCTGTTATTTTTAGAAACCTAACTCATTCAGATTCTGAATCAAGAAGGTACTTGAATTTTAAGTTCCATGGTAAGGAATCCAGAACCACAGCAAAGTAAGGAAGGACAAAGATACATTTCCCCGGCAGAACTTCATAAAGCCACAAATAATAAATATGTTTTATGAGTGCATTGATTTCATGCTCACTGAGACTACCATGCCTGTGGTCCTTCCTCACATGTTGTTATAGCTTTGTGAAGAACTGCTTTGAAAAAAATGGGGTATGGGACCGACAGGATGACTCAGAGAGGAAGTATTTGCTTTACGAACTAAGTAACTTGAGTTCAGTCCCTGGGAACTCACATAGGGTAGAAGGAAAGAATTGTCCTCTGACATTGCTTGTGGGGGCTTAAATGAGAACAACCCCCACAGGCTCATATATTTCAATGTTTGGTTCCTTGTTAGTGGACTGCTAAGGGAGGATTACAGGGTATAAGGAGGTTGTGGAATTTTTCTCAGCACTTAGGGAAAGCCACCAAAGTCAGACATGTGGCGGGGGAGTCTTTGTATGAGGGCCTGGAGAGGCCATTACATGAAGCTGTGAAGGTGAAACC